CCTTTCACGTTAAACGGAATGAACATCGCCGGATGTTCTAGCTATGTGTATCTAGGTCGGGAAGTCAACATGATAAACGACCTAGCTCAAGAGCTGTGCAGAGAGAAACGCGCAGCGTGGGGAGCATTTAAGAACATCGAGGGAGTAGTGAAGAAGGCAAAGAACATCCGGCTCTGTGCTCAACTTTTGGACACTGCTGTCCTTCCTGCTTTGACGTGCGCCTCGGGACTTGGACTCTACGGAAGCAGGATGAGCATGCTGTCAGCGTTACTCAGGGCGCTTTGGAAAGGACGATACTCGGAATTTCCCTGTACACGCAAGTACAAAAGGGAATCCGGAGTTACGAGCTCCGTCAACGAGCGAAGATTAGGGATGCCGGAAGGCCGCCAACAAGATCGTCAGACTTCTTCACGAAGGCTCTGAACGAAAACACTGTTGAACCTCGAAGCGAGGACGATTCACTGGGCTACTCAGGCTCGTGACAGGACGAATGGAGACGTTACTGGCACCTACTCGAGGAAGTCGATGGTCAACGGGACGACAGGTGATACAGGTGATCAGAGCTCATAACTCCGCATTGTTCTCTGTTGTAGCATGTATCGGGGAAATGAGGAATTAATACCTTTCACAACGCTTTGAATAGCTTCACTACCTTTGAATGACGTTAGCTGTTGCTCATTGTGCCCGCACAAGCCCCCTATTTCTCTCTGTGGAGCACGGAACAAAAGGCTACCCATGGACGTTCTGAATACTTCACGTCTTTAAATTCCTTCTGCCCAGCTTTGAAACTGAGGCGTCTACATGATGAAGGGACCTCAGATATGCTCGTACCCTGAAGAGGAGAAGACCTCAGATGTGTTCGTACCGTGCAGCAGGGGCAAGTCCTGCACATATTGTGTACCTGTCAGCCTTCCCTTTAAGCAACATGTTTTCCCATTACAGCTGGCATGTACCTTTTGTTTTGGAGCCACAGAAGTTTGAGTTAGATATCACTTTGTTGGTTTCCTCTTGTAGAGCTCTGGGATTCTTCGAAAAGTAGCTCAAGAACAGCTCAAAAATTATTCTTAGAACGTCGTGATCGCTCTAGACTCGAATTACCGCTTCTGGCCTTACCGGTTCTCAATGCTGTCGAGAATTACTGCTTCTCGACAGCATTGAAAACATTCTTGAAACTACTGAATGAAGGACGCAGCGACATCTCGTACTCTCGCGAAATTTCGATGGATTCGTACTCGTGTGAGTCGATCGTACTGAACGAGCTTTTCTAGCATGCTGTGCTGTCCTTCACTCCTACCAAGTATTCTGGAAATTCTGTTGAGAATGAATCCCGTGAAAAATCTATAAAAACGTACGATTGAACCGGATTGAATGATAAAACTACACTTTCCTTCTTCTAGCAGGAGGCCTTGCTTCTTACGTTGTAGTCTCGTACATTCCGAAAGATAACGTGTACAGAACCGATCCAGAATTCAGAAGAAAAATGAGACAACACCGAATTCTGCTTGTCCCTATGTTTCCTGTTCACATATGCTTGTTGTCGCTACANCCCCCCCCCCCCCCCCCAAGGAATTTGGAGAGACGATTCTTTCACGGATTTTTTGCTCTTTATTTGGATGCGAGAGTATATACAAGAACCAGTGAACCTTTGAAGCATAAGTCAGCCCGTGTCTTGTAGGTGGAACACGCCGGAGTCGGGTGCAGTTGAGCAATAAGGGCTACGCGTCAGAATAGCACTGCCGTAGCACTGACAGTGTGTAAAAGCGCAACATACTTTATTAGTAAACAACAATCAAAGATTAAGAATAGTCCTTGACGTTGTTTATCCCCGTTTCTGGGATGGGTCGCCTTATTGCACTTCTATCTTGTATCGTACTGGCGTTTTGAATGTTTATTTGACTTATACAACGGCTGTCAGTGGTCAGCCGGCAAATAACTCTGTGTTGGTACCTTCTTAGACTGAATCAGTCGAACTTGGAGGGATAGAGGCATGGTTTGCCTGAACGAATGTGGGATCCGCTCTCGGAACATGTTTACGTGATAGTCTGCCACTTGTCGCCACACCACCTTCGCTCTAACGAAAATAGAACCAGGAATTCAATGATAGAAAACGAATTGTATTTGAAGTTTGATAGTTACTCCTGCGATTGGAGAGAAGGTCGCAGTCATAGAACGACGTTGTCCAAAGTTTTTTCGAAGACAACTCGAAATGGAAAACATTGAGTTCTTGTTTGGAAAATACTACCCATGTAGCGTTGGTTCTCAACGGAAAAGTAGAGAAAAAGAGCACAGAGTATGGGAATGGGAAATTGAATCTAGTTCAGACAGGAGCGAACATAATTAGGAGTGATACAATTCAAATATTTTATTTCAAAAATTAATGTTATTGCTTTCATTTTTACAGACAAAATAAAGCTCATATGTATGTACATAATACTTCTCGAACAAAGAAAAGAATATGATTGGCACAAGATCAATGTAGGGAACTGCACAACGAATTACGGTAGGCCTTCACCCTTACCAAGACCCTCGTTCAAAACTCTCCAACTCAACTTAACTACATAACTCTAACTAAACTTCTCGTTTTCCTTCTTGTATCCGTAGCTCACCCGTGGTTGACACTATGGGCCTTACGTGCGTTCTCGTTTCAGGAATCAGACCTTCAAGGAGCATTTTTTCGAGTTTAGTTGTAGAGACTTCGAATAAGCAGCTCCAAATGAATGCCATGATGTAGGAAAGCACAACGATGGGTATAGCTCGGTAGACGTACTGAAACAGAAAACTCTTTGAATCATTCCCAATCAACATTTAGGTGTCTAGAAGAACAAACCGATTGCCAAATGGAAACGTAGTGAGTCGGTCGATCATCGAGGTTGAACACATACTGAATGATAAAGAAGTGAACAATGTAAGCGCAATAGGACAGCCGACCGAGGGGTTGCCATAATGGATGATCCATGAATCTCGCGATTGGACCTGAATTGCCGGGGATTTTCTTAAGGAAGGCAATTAATCCCACTAATTCTCGATGTTATGAAATAGTTAAGGCGGTTTTTCTGCCTTCATTACGCTCTTCAATAGGAAAGATTATAAGAAAAAAAAATATAAGCGGTTCATCTTTGCTATAGTCTGCTTTGACCCTTTCATGGATGCTAGGAGCACAGCTCTCTAAGCTTTTATGAGTTTTCTTGGCAGACAACCCAGAAATTTTTGAGAAAATCGCCGGAGGAGAAGGCTCAAAATCCTCAAAGAAGATCACGTCATGAATGAAGGGAACTGTATGCGAGATTTTGTAGAGGTTTGGATGGTCAACGCGCAAGGATTGGGATGGTCAACTATGAAATATAGGCGAAATTACCTATAAAAAGGAGCTTTGATTGATTTTGATTGTAATTGTTGATTAACGACACATAAAGTTTAATTACCCAAGTTTGAGGTGTCGTGAAATACCACCAACCGCCGAGCAGATGTAGATTTCACAAAAAAGTCGGCTACAAAGAAAGACCTAACAGAAATGAAATTTGTATCGGTACCTCCCCATCCAAGGTGATTCGCCACAATTACCCACGACACAGCCAACGACCATCCGATTCTTGAAAAATTGTTGTACGTAGCTCGGACGAACTTGCTGGAATAATTCAAAAGTATGTAGGTCACACTTCTCAACTTTTCATTTGGCCACAGTTCGCGATGAAAAATCAACTACAATCAGCTGAGGAGAGGGCGAAATATTAGGTTGAGAAAAAAGTTTTGATCGACTCTTCGTCCCTTTCTATATTTTTTCGTAGGACCGCTGGAAGGACTTCGTAATGGGTTATGATAGACCTATCCCTGACCTGTACTGTTAGGGGGATATATAAGCTTCCCCTTGTTAAGTGCTTGAAAAATGACTTCAACCTTCAACTGCCGAAGCTGCCTGAGAGCTATCGTCTATCACGAATTACCGTGAGGGTAAAATCCACCGACGGCTCTCGCAAATACCTGTGACGCACTCGGAAGAGTCACCGTATCCCAGCACGCCCACGGGTGCCTCATGGCGAACACCTCCAAGACTAGCAGAGAAGTGGACTATGTTCGGGGAAGGTTTTACTGTGTGGTCTGTGGACATTCTCAGGGAATGCTCTGCTTTGGATAACTTATTGAGGGTTCCACCTGAACCGCAGAGATTTACGCTTATCAGCTACAGAGTTTGGTCGACGTTGTTCGAAGGAAGCGTCCGCAGCGTGAAAATGTTTGCCTTTTTCACGACAGCGCTCAACCCCATGCTGCAAAATTGTTTTGTCAGTAAATTGCCGAACTTGGATGCCCAGTGCTGCTTCATTCTACTTATTCGCCAGGTCTCGTTCCGTCTGATTACCGTTTGTTTCTTGCTCTGAAACATCACCTTCGCGATGGAAGTTTTGACGATTGCCCGGAACTCAAAAACGAGATGTCCAGCTTTTTCGAATCGCGGCCGCCATCGTTCTAGACTTCAGGAGTCAAGAAACTGTCGGATCACTAGTAATATGTTTAGGACAACGATGGAGAATATATTACTAATTGAGGTCCTCTTTCAATGGAAATAAGACTTTTTAAAGCGAAGATTGAAAAGCCGATCAAATCTTTTTACTCAACCAAATACAATGCCTGGACCAGAAATCGGAGATCGGGACTCATTTCTTTCAGGGCCACTAGGTCGTGATATTGAGAGCGTAGGTTCTCTTCCAAGCCTCACTGAATGATAAGTTTCACCGTCCTCTCAGCATCTTCGGTGCAAACCTCAAGCAATGCTTGATTAACTTCGGCTGTCTATCGAAATCTACGCATCTGCTCGCGTAAAAATGAAGCGAAGTGTTCTTGCAGCCCAAGTTTTTCAGAGATAGAGGATGAACTGCCAATGGACAGGCGGTGAAGGAGAAGCTGTCTTCGAGAGTTCTCCGTTAAGACCCCACGTAGAGGTGAAAATTACCTCCAATTATCAGCACCCATGATGTATTCATGCGGTCCATATACTGTTAGTAAGGCGACAACTGTAGCAATCATCCATGCAGCAGTCACCAGCACCTTAAATTAAGCAAGTGGAAATAATGTATTTGAAGTGTTTCGCATGCACGCTAATGTGTATTAAATCACCTACCCAAGAAATTTTCGGTTTCCTGCCTTTGAGCTTGGCTAGAAGGTAGCCGACACCTATTCCAATGAGATAAGGAGGGCAGCGAGTCCATGGTTTTTGGTAGAATATGTCAAAAAACTCGGCAACTCTCCTGAAGAGGCGTTCTCAGAAAGCTACCTTGGGTAAAAATTAAGAGAATGGCTCACGGTAGTGCGAATGCTCCCACAATCAAGGCTGGGAGATCGTGCTGATAGGTAATGACGTAGGTGTATGCTACGCTTCCAGAGCAGCACAGCACTAGCACCAAGATTCCTAAATGGGTTGTTTAAAGTACTGGTCTACAAAATAGGGGGAGGGTGCGGGATGAATTGGGAGTGAAAAGATATTCCCTCAAAAATGTCTTGTCATCATTCAAACACCTTTGGCTTTTGATTCCTATGAAAGAATGACCTTGCAAGAGATCGTTTCAATTACACTCTGACCACATTCTATAATGTTAGGGTGAAAATGTAGTTGGTGGAGGGGGG